CTCAGTCTGGAGACTGTCCATACTGGATGACATTTCTTGTGATTTTCCTCAGTCCTTGTAGCAATTTCCAGAATAGTACCTTAAACTAGTCCATGTTCACTGCCTTCCATATCCATTCCAATTCATTATTCATTAATCATCCAGTGTTCTATATCCTGAGCTACTGATAGCTTTGCTAAATAAACCATAAATAAATAAATAAATAACTGAAAATTTGTGTAAAGGCTTTGATGATGAAAATACATACAAAAGGATTACTTCCAGAATTTTAATTATCAACAAAAGTAATTTATTTATTGTATTACACTTATGTTAACTACTATATGTGCTGCTCACTTAGTAATAAAAATGGCTGTCTTCTGGGTTGTTGCACTCTGTAGTCTGGTAAATGTTTACCTACATCATCAGGGCAATGAGACTCATCGCCCTGATGATGCATGCAGCAACGACCTCTGAAACGTCGGTAAACTTCCACGGAGCAACAATCAAGATGACAGCCATCATCAGACTCACCGCCATGAAAACCTCAAATCCTACATAATAAAAATAAAACTAGTACTTCAATCATCAACTCTGAGGAACATGCAGAGATGTGTTTATATGTACAGGTGAGGAAGAATATACGGTTATTTTCAACATTTCATTAACCTCGAGACAATTAAGCATTTTAAAAACCAAAAAAAATGCCCTTGGGAGAGGTGATCAGTGTAAGTCTTCATTGTTTCACGGATAAGTGTCTTATATTGTCAGCTTTGTGACTGTTATCAAGATGTTTATTCCAGTTTTGTTGTCGATTCGTAATCATATGACAGGTTATGGAATGCGGCAGCCATGCGGCCACGTTGACTTCTATCCAAATAATGGCAAGGAACAACCTGGTTGCGACTTGACTGAAACTCCGTTGCCACTCACGTTGATACGTGATGGCATCGAGGAGGCTAGTAGAGTACTCGTCGCTTGTAATCACATCCGAGCCATCAAACTCTTCATCGACTCCATCAACTCAAAGTGCCCTTACGTGGCTCATCGTTGTGACTCTTATCAGCACTTTCTGCAGGCAAGTAATTTATACATATTATGACAGTGAAAATAGTAAGTCCAAATCATACACATTTACAGTTAATGAATATTAATTTTATTAGGATTGTATACAATTCTTGACACTTGATAGTCAATACAGTAGATTTGAGTTAATTGGGCCATCGGTTAATCGGGGCAGCCGTTTATTTGGGGCAAATCTTAAAGAAGAAACCTTTTTAACTTTTTACGTGAAACTTCGCATAATTGGGACATTCACTTAATTTGGCCAAAGTGTTATAGTCCCGATGTGTCCCAATTAACTGGAATCCACTGTAGTTAAAAATTTTCAATGACCTAAGAAATCAAAATGTGATAAATATATCAGTTTTAATAACAATTTCTTAATGCTCCATTAACTTCTATTTTTGGCCTGTGGTTAGAAATCAAAGACGTGTTTTAATGAGATGTTAACCCTCTGTTCTCATTTTTTTAATTCACAATGTCCTGACACTATTGGACCATTTAATTTTAATGTCCAGCCTTGCATTGTATTTTAGTATAAGTGTTACAGACGCTACTGATTTTAACATATTATGTTATGGTAAAGGCAGGTGGCACTTAAAATGGCGTTCTTTTTGACATTTCAGCTTTTTTCCTAATATTATTAGCTTTCATTATATGGCAGAAGGCAATTTAAACCCCAATACAATGGAGCTATTGGTTGGGCTTAACTCCAAGTTTAGTGGTTTGCTAGTGCAAAGCGTGGCCAGCTGCATTGCACGAAAGACATGATATGTGACTGATAAACGTTACAAGAGCACGGATTTTCATTTTTAAGATTGCAGTGACACAAGTTTTTATTGAAGTATTCAACCCATCTATGTTTTTTGCTAATTGACTCTCACAGCTAAAATAATCCCTACAGTACAATTTTCATACTCAAAATAGCTACCATTTTATTTGTTTCTTGATGGTTTAATTTGTTATGGTAATTTGAGTTGCAAATATTTATAAAAATTAGTAATTTAACATGTCTAAAAATTAATTTTAAGTATTAAATGTCTGAAAGTGGAAACTTTAGAGAGACCATTACCATGTAGTCGCTGTAAGGTGATTCAAAATTCAGATGTGGCCTTTGAAGGTTTCCAGCCCCTTGTCTGCTGTTATCAGTTACTAAAGCAGTATTGAAGTATTTAGAAAGTTTTGTGTAAGGCAACCCACAGTAGTGGATGATGAAGATATCACTATAGAGTATGGCAGAAAAAGAAAACCTTTATTACAGTTTGCTATCATATCAAAATTAAAAAGTAAGTCTGGGTTCTGTGAGTTGTATCTGCATTGTCTCACTAGCTTCACACAAAAAGAGTTCAATTATTATGTTAGTTAGTGACCTGTAACCGCTCGCTACTAGGTTTCCAGATAAAGTTATATAAAAGACATAGTACAATTTTATGTTCTTGAGAAACAGTTACACTCTTAGGTGTATTAGACCTAAAGTAAGCAAAATTGCTACTCTGCATACAGATCTTTTATACTTCTAGACCGTAATATACTTCATAAAGGCAAAAGAAACAGGCTTATTCCATACTGGAATACACAGGATATTCTCATGCATTCTTTGCAACTACATTTAGGGTTATTAAACTCGTCTTGTGTGAAATAAGTTTGTCCCACATTTTGAATATTCAAAAATAACTTAACAAACATTAACCTAACCTTATCTAACATAACTTAATTACAGCTCACCTAACTTGGTCAAACAAAACTTAACTTAAAAAAAACACCTACAAACTATTAACTAAAATCATAACAACCAAACCTAACGTAATGTGGCATAAATGCAAGTAATGTTCCCTAATCTGTCATAACATAAACTAACTTTACCCAATGGAACCCAATTTAGCCAAAATTTATTTAACCTGCCCTAACCTCAAGTAACCTAAAGTGGCCAAACAAAACCTAAATCAAGAAATTACCTAATAATGTCTAAGCTAACCTAACTTTCCTAACTGTATGTAAACAAACAAACTTGACATAACATAAATTAAACTACCCTCTTCTAACCTGATTTAATTTAACCTACAGTGACATAACCTGTCTTAATTTGCTAAACCTAACCCAAACTAACCTAGCCTTAAATAATCGTACCACATTGTCAGATTTTATTAATTGTATATTTTTCAATTTTCATGGTTTAAAATTTTTTGAATTTTCAACATTTTCGAAATGTATAAATACCCAACATTTTAAATTCTTCAGTTTTTCCGAAATTTTAAACTAAAGAATTAAAAATTTCACAATCCCCTTGTTCTAAATTCCAGCATAGAAACTTTATATTTAAACATCTGCCCTAATCAAAACTTCCTAAACTAAAATTAAACAAACATAACCCAACATAACATGTCTCAACTTAACCTAATGGACGTGACATAACCTAACTTAGCCGAAATTAGCATTTAATAACCTAACTTGTTTCAACAGAAACACTCTTAACATAAACAAACATTTTGACGATTACCACTTACGTGAATACAGAACACTCTTACCATAGCAACCACAGCAAACATTTAAAGGAATGCATAACAGCGGTCAGGAATGGTGACCATTGTAAATAGTAAAAATAAGTAAGTAATCCTGTCCGTTTGTATGCCAAGTAGGCACATGAATATAGCTCTTACTCATTCTGAACCTCGGCTCGATAGGGGTGAGTAGTCAGCGTCACACCCCAGCTGCACTTAACCTCCAAGAAAGGACTGTGGTACCCTTTGGGCAGGAGGCTGGGTGAACTTCAGAGTCAGTCTGGATGCAGAGGCTAGAAAAAACTTTGCCCCTGTTGGGGATCGAAACCCATTCCTGTCCATAATCAGTCACTGTACTGACAGCTACTCTGACTCTATGGTAACCACTGTAAAAGTAAAGTAAAGTTTGTCCCACTATACGCCATGTAGGCTTTTGGGGTGAGTGGAGGTATAGCTCCTCTCTTCCTTGACCTCGGCACTAGATGGGGGTGAGTGGTCAGCATCACGCCCCGGCCGGCTTTACCCCCGGGAAAGGACCCCGGTACCCATTGTAGAGGAGGCTGGGTGGGCCCCAGAGGCTAGAGGAAAAATTCTCTGCCCCCGTCGGGGATCGAACCCCGGTTGTCCAGCCCGTAGCTAGTCACTATACTGACTGAGCTATCCCGGCTCATATGGTAACCACTGTAAGCAAACAAATTCGAACTTTAGTAGTTCCAATTTTGGCCAACAGGCTGCAGCTTTGCAATATCTACCTTTCGAATTTCCTCATCTGTCACTTTCTTGTCATTGCTGATAGGATATTCAAAAGTATGTTATTTTGAGGTTGTGCAGAATGGCACAACCTTCACATGAAATTTCATCCCAATCTGTCCTGTGGTTCTCGAGTAGAATCATTTGAACTGATAGATGGACATACATGACCAGCCTGTGATGTGTTCTCCCTATGCACTTTGTGCAAAGAATGCATAACAACTTACAAGGTTACCTGGTTGATTTCAGCTCCAGTTTTGCAACATGGCAATGGACCTTCTGACTTCTTGGCCAAAGTATTAGGTATTGACACTCCATTGTTTTTTTGTAATATACAGATTTATTTTTCACATTCCTTGCTGTTGCTTTGTAAGTCTTGTAAAGGGAGGCAGCCTCACATTGACCACGAAAGCTCAGTCAGTAGCTTGTTTGCCTATGGTGCAGGCAACCCAGGTTCATTTCCTAGTTGGTATTCTTTTAATCACCGTGTTTATAATGGCTTCGGAGGCCATAAAATTTAATTTGTTTCTTTTAAGTTTTTGTATTAATTTATTTTCTTTCTTCTGTCACTGACATTCAAAAACAAGAGCAACATATTTGATTTCTCAGCATGAAATATTAAAAATAAACCAAAATTTAAAGTGTAGAAGATTTACACATTGTTAAAGTAGGATTTGAGTGATGACTCCTCATCTTGATATTGGAGGCAGCAAAGACCTCTGAAATGTTGGTAAACTTCTACCAGACTACACAGCGCAACAACCCAGAAGACAGAAATCTTCATACTCTGATGACGGAGGCAGTATGACCTCTGAAACGTTGGTTAACATCGACCAGACTACACAGCGCAACAACCCAGAAGACAACCATCTTCAAACGCACTGCCATAAAAACCTCAAATCCTACTTTAACAATGTGTAAGTCTTCTGTGCTGTACATTTTAGTCTATTTTCAATCTTTCGCGTTGAAAAATCAGTTCCGCTGCTAGCAAGAGCCTGTGAAGCATCAATAAACCTTTACCAGGCTCATCATCATTAGTCCGGCTTCCAATGTTGAAAGTTGGTCACCCATCATTAGACTCGTTTCACAATCTGTCTCCATCGGTCCGATCTTCTACCTCTCTCAGTAGGAGGCCAAGCGACAGATTCGACTTCTCCTCCACCTGGTCCACCCATCGCCTTGAGAATCTTCCGCGCGATCTTTTCCCTTCAACCTTTCCCTGGACAATAATTTTTTCCATGCTATCATCCTACCGTCATACAATATGCCCAAAGAACTGTAGAATTCGCTAATAGCACATGGAGGACAGTCTCTTCTGTACATTGAGTTCGTTGAGTATCGAGTTATTGGTTCTTTTCTCCATCCATGATACTCTCAGCATCCTCCTGTATGCCCACATCTCAAAAGAATCGATTCTTCTTCTGTCTTCTGCCTTAATTGTTCACGTTTCTGCGCCATGGAAACACCAGAGTCTTCAACAGTCTCAGTTTAGTGCATCTACTTATATTGTGATCCTTCCAAATGACAGTCAGCTTTGATACAGCATCTCTAGCTAGTACTATTCTTCGACGTATTTCCTTAGTAGAACCACCACCTTTCCCAACCATGGAACCTAGGTAGATAAAACGATTCACTTTTTCATACTCTTGCAGTAAGTCTGTTTGTGGCAGGGACTCAGCTCGATCTATTATCATAATCTCTGTCTTATCCTTATTAATGGACAAGCCAGGCTTCTCACTTTCCTCCTTACCAGACTACACAGCGCTAAAACCGAGAAGACGGCAGTTTTCATTGTTAAAGTAGTTTTTAAACCCAGACACACAAGAGACACAATGACAGACTGGATTCTGGATAACAGTCATCGTAAATGTATCAAAAATAAAAATTATGCAAAACCACAATCATTAATCAGTGCCTATTAGCTGCACTATCATTTTGCACTTTTTACCTCAGCTGGGAATACAACTTTATTTGCATTCCATAAAATGTCACATGATGTTATTAGTTTGGCAGCATGATACGCATTATGATATGTTTAGAATTTGTAAAGCTTGACTGTCATGAAATACGGGTGTATTTTCTGTCTTTTCACTTGTTTATTACATCCCGGAATAGTCTGCCATGCTTCACATTTGTACCTATAATGGTTTGTAATTATTTTTGTTGAAAGTAAAGTAATCTTTATTTCATGTGGTTACAGTGTTGTTGTAAGACTTGAGGTTCTCACAGCAGTGAGTATGAAGATTTCCGTCTTCTGGGTTGTTGCGCTGTGTAGTCTGGTCGATGTTTACCAACGTTTCAGAGGTCATACTGCCTCCGTCATCAGGGCGATGAATATGTTGTTTGCCATTTTTACAATGTAATAATACACAATAAAACATCTTGCCTAATATCATACAAAACTTTCACATTGCTATGTGCTTCATATTGGGATTCAGCATAAGAAAACTTTGATTGTAATTGGTGGATGCTCTAGGTCATTAGCCGTTCATTTCAGTGAGTATGTTCATTGCAGGGCCGCTGTTTCTCCTGTCATGGTTCTAATGCCAGTGAATGTGCAGTGATGGGACTGAGAGCAGACGAAATGCTAAGCAATTCCCTTGACAATGGGGAACTCGTCCCTGGAGGAAAGTATTTCATCACTACAGGAAAAGATTTCCCATATTGCCGTACGTATGTTTAACCTCCCCATATGAAGAGTTTCATTCCTGCATTTATTAATATATATTATTCTGTTTGTAGACGTTAGTCCCGTTTAAATACTTCCTGCACAAGTTTTGTAGTTTACATGAGCATCTGTGCCAGTATGATTTATGTATGTTGATAAAATGAAAATCACGTGCTTTAAGCCAAATTGGCTGGTTAGGTTACTTTCGCCCTTTACAGAGGTGTGAGTTCAGGTTGTGTTCTTTGGGGTTGTGTCACTGTGTAGTCTTATAGGTGGATACTGACATTTTGGAGGAACCTACTGCCTCATTCCTCAGGATTACATGGTTTGTGAACCCAGATGACCACAGTCTGGGCTCATCCTTCATAGTTGAAAGATTCTGGGTTTGGTTCTTGATCCAGAAACCAGCTAGATTGAACGATGTTTTTTTCTTCTGCGCATGCCCTACTCACTTTCACATTGACAATCATCAATACTGTAACATATGCAGCTGATAAAATGTGTTTCACTTACTCAAGAAACAGTACAATATTATGAAGTAAATGTATGCAAGAAAATGCAAAAATACGAAACAGAAGTTTCAGCATTATACCCCCGGTGTTTTATAGAAAATATAAACTGTGTGAGTTGTCGTTGCTAGCAATGTAAATAACTGAAATCAGTGGACATGCTATTTAAATGTTACGCTGCATATTGTTTTCAATTTAACATCCATCACAAATGTCATGGACAAATGCTCACCCTGAAAGCAATCAGGACACAACGCTATACATAAATTTATAATTTCCATAAACTCCAGGAAGTATGATCATTCTAAGTTGAACTGATTTTCAAATCCTGCTTCACTACTTTTGTTTAAATAATTGTTATAATTGATATTTTCTTCTGTTAGGTCGTCACTATAAGGTGACGATAGATTTGGCTAAACCACCACGAGCTGAAAATTGGGTTCAGGGCTTCATGAGAATATCACTACACAGTGACACGGGTATCATTCGAAACCTGGACCTCACGCCAAGGTATGAACAGTAAGGAATAATAGCGACATAGATTATCGCTAATCTTAGCAGCCGTCACCAAATTGCATGCTTCATAGTCAAAGTAAAATTATGAAACATTACAACACACACCAAGGAGTGAAGACAGCTCAGAATTTGCAGCATAGCAAAGCAAGCAACACTGTACCGCAGACTCAGATCCATGTTTTGGAGGGGATGATCATTCTCTGACCTCGAAGCGCACGGTTTGGTGATTAAATTTAAATGTATGCGTCTCTGCCTAAAGTGTTAAAACTTAATATCTGATAATTATTATATTTGTTTACCGTCAAATCACAATAAAATAGTAAGATAAGATAATTAAAATGATTAAAATATCGTCTTATGTTCCATATCGAGCATTTGATTTACATCGGAACATTCACAACATGTTTCGGTTTATCAAACCGTCATCAGGTGTAAATTATAAACTTTTAAACTGAAATTACAATTATTTATAGTTTTTTACAATTTTATACTTTTATCATCTTTCTCAGTATATTTTTTGGAAGTTGTGTTTAGATATTATTAATATAACATTATTGTTGAGGTGGTGTTTTGATGTTTT